TCTGGGCAGGGGGAGCCACGCGAGGAGGACAGGAGCACTGCTCGTGACACAGGGCCAGCCGCTCTGGGCAGGGGGAGCCATGCGAGGAGGGCAGGAGCACTGCTCGTGACGCAGGGCCAGCCGCTCTCTGGGCAGGGGTGCCACGCGAGGGGTTCCAGCATGCATCTCCATACTGGACCTATGGGCCCCTCCAGTAGAAACACTGTGCAAAGCTTCTTTCCTACTCTATTCTAACATTATTAAATAAGCCCAAATAACTGTGCTGCAGCTCAGGCTTTTTAATTTTTTTCTACACAGCGTGCTGGACCTTCAGGTATAAAACATTAAAGACAGATCTCACAGAATCCACTACAGAAGGAACTGGCTGAAAGGATGCTGGGGTTCCCTCAGTGCAGGCTCAGGTCAGGAGGGCATGCAGGATTACCTTGAGGTGGTAGACGTTGCCTTGCGCCCTCATGACCAACTCGCTGGCTGGGATGGACTGCCCACACGCGCTGCATGCTCCGCTGTTACCAAATAACCTGCAGGACACAGCCACAGTCACACAGCCCATTAAAAAAGTGACTATTAATCTCATGAACAGCATAAAAATAAGTGCTGTTCGTTGTTAAGATACAGGGACTGATTCCTTATGTCCACTAGCTTCAGCTTAGTTGGAATCCATCTATGTAGACTCAGTAGCAGTAGTCAGGATTGTCTTGTAAGAGGTTTTTTTTCTAGTTAAAGATATTGTGTCTTTAAAAATACAAAAAGTATACCCACTTAAATTCAAAACTGTTTTGTGCTAAAATAAATATAGTCAATAGTGCTCATAAAAAAGGTCTGAGAAACAAGTTGACAGTTCACAGAAATACTCGTTGCCTTCATTTAAATCAGCTCAGCCTTAAGCCTCTGCGATACACAATGACTTTCATTGCACGCTGGGATTTAGATTGGGTTGTTGGTTAAGACAATAGAATTGATTGCATGCCTTGTACGATTAAAGCATGGAAAAAAATGAAATGCTGAAATTTTACATATTAGGGAGGGAGAGGAGAAGAAGAAATATTGTGTCCCCAGCTCTGCCACTGGAATGGAGTATTACCTTTAACATACATTTTGCATCCTAATCATAACCTGGAACACAAGCAATCAGAGTTAAGAGGATTTGATTGTACATCTAAGGAGACATCATGCTTTTGCCATTAGAACTCCAGCAAACCTCCACCGGAGCCAGGGTTTCCATTAGAAATACTCTGCTATCCAGGTTGATATATAATGTGCATGGGTTAACCTTTTCAATCATGGTGTCAACACTTCAGGTTTGCCTCTGCTCATCTCTTTCATCCTAACCTTCTCTCTCCCTCTTGATAATGAAATGCTTGCTCCAACTTCCCTCTATCGGCTTCTGAGTCCACAATTTAGATTACTTCATCTCTGCTAGCAACAAACTGAATGAAATTTCGATTTGAGCAGAAAGTAATTTACTGGGATCTGGGCCCATTTGTCATCATATCTCACTGGGTGTTTGCTCTATCACTGCAGTTTTCCTATGCAATCAAATAAGACCACAGCGTCTGACACGGATGAAAGGGGAGACGGTATAGCGTTAGCCTACACATGCATTTAAACGAAGACGTGTGTTTTAAAAACATTTTTTAATTCATTACATCCGTAATATCAATGTAAGTGTGCGAGTGTAGAATGAAGGGAAACGGCATTAACGTGCAGCTGCAACGTTATCTTTCTCAAGAGTAAAACCGGAACGTCTGAATCACTCTCAGCCTCGACTTTAATGATAACGCACCTCTCCTCTGATGAAATCGCACATTTGAATTCAACCGTGAGGCGAAAGAGCCCGTCCCGTTCTCGTTTAAAAGAGGGGTCTTCGTCTGCAGGACCTGATCTTGCAAAGGAGACTCGTGTCCCAAGTAGCAATGTGTTGTCGCCGCTTTATTGAAAACAGCCTGTAAGTTGTTATTAAATGTATCGACAGAACGACAGAGAGAGTAGTAAAACTGCCCCCTAAGATGGCTTTTAATAGGAAGCCCGAGAAACAAATTTTGCAGCGGCATCGATTTGAAGAGTTCAATCAAAACTCCATTTCAAAACTAATTAGTTTGAGATCCAGGACACATCGACACTTTGTTGCGAAATTAGAAGGCCGAGGCACAAAACTCCCTTTGCTACAGGAGCGGCGATTCAGCCGTGGCCGGTTTTAAAACGGTAGCGGTGCGATTTGTTGTTCCTTGAGAAACAGACTTTAAACATAAAGCATTGCCAAGATAGCGGAACATCTCATTTTCCTCTATTATTACCGAATAATAATTAATGTTGAATGACTTAAAACTGAAATAATGAATAACTGCAGACATGTCGCAGAACTGGAAGACTACCTGCCCTTGCGGCTGCAGATTAATAAGTATTATTACAGTAATGTATTTATTGATGACGGGAAAGCAGTAAGACAAACATTGAAGTTTATCCGCACTCGCAAACGGAAAATATGGATTAACCCCAAAACCACTGAGCTTTCCACGCACAGCTAAACAATTCTTTTTAAAAAAAGATGAAGCTGACAGAGCATATCAGGAAATCCAAAGAGTTTCGCTAACATAATCATTATGCCTTACAATAAACTGCTGAATAAAGGGTCACACTCAGGCTCTCCGCTGAAAGGCAAGTTCGTTGTCAGCTCCGTTTCATACATACAATGGGCGGCAATACGGGTCGGACTACAAGTCTGATTTTCGGAGACATGTTTTTTTACTAATAGTCATGAGCGGGCCTTCTGGGCTGATATCGTTGTTAACACGGCTCTGCTTTTTTTCCCCACTACGTAAGGTACGGCAGAAGTACCGCGGACATCCCTGCACAGAAACGCGTCCCGAGTTTCTCAGTGCAAGGAGCCTCAGGGAAACTGAACATACCGAACTGAAAATACGCTACCCCCCTCGTAGTCGTCTGAACGTTTGCCATGGTTCTCCCAAGTATTACAAAGTCTATTACAGCACAGAGCTCGCCGTTTATTTGAACTGCTTCATCGTTTAAACTGTAGCCCATTGTTTTGGATTTTTTTTTTAATCGTCAACTGAATTAAATGATGACATTCCGGGATTAGATCTCTCCCAAAATAAAGACATTTCATTACGAGTGCTGCAATCCATTTGGTGAAGGCGCGCGGGGTGGGAGTTAAAACCCACAATCTGATTCCTTATCAGCCCCCCACGTCTGTCTCCCAACGCCCCTACACGTACACACACACACTTTGGTTTCTACATGCGTGGAGTTAATTATCTGGCCGGGGGATTGTCCAGGATGCTATTTGATTTAAAAGGCTGGAGGCTTTAGGTGCTCAATTAAGTTGCTATCAGTCTCAGACTGTAGTCTAATGGGCTCCGTTCTCCTGAACTCCTGCATTGGGGAGAGATACCCCAGGTCGGGATAATTAAAGCCGGGGGACTGTTTAATTGCGATGACAGAATTGGTTTCAGTTTCTGCTCTTCGGATTCGTGCTCACAATAAGGACGGCTAGATTTTCAGCTACACGACTTCCCGATCAATCAGGACCAATAAGAGACGGCTTTAAAACGGCAACAAATAAAGGTTTTCTGTTTTTGACAGAAATCAATTTTTAACCCACAAGAAGATGGGGAGTTTTTCTTATGCGTTTCTTCTGAGTATCGCTGAAGAAGCTCACCACGACGGCCTCGCAACTGTGAGCCCCACCATCTTCACCATTGCACAGACGTGTACAGGAAAGGCCTGTTTAATAAGGGAATATTGCTCGAACGGGGACGCTTTACAAATACAGACGTTGTGTCTTTAACAGCAGCGTTAAATATAGTAAGAAAGCAATACATTAATGATGTCTGCAACATAGTCCATTAAAGATGCTTCGGTACAACAGCAGCCAAAGCACCTTAAAAGCACTAGGAGATATTGATACTTAAGAGGGGCTTTTGCATAATGGCAAGTACTGCATTAGAGAGCGAGGAGAGGGGAGAGCAGAGAGAGAGAGAGAAAAAATCCGCCAAATTACGCTTGGTTAATTCAGAGTAACAGATCTGGCCCCGAGTGAATTGGAGGCCTTGAATTAATTCTGTTATGACAAATCAAGATAAACGTTTCCCCTAAATTGCATGCGATTTAATTAATTTTTGAGATCCTGGTTTTTCCTAGCTAATAGTTCACATGCTCCTGCGCTGTCATAGTGCTTGAGTGGGCAGACTTCAAAGTGATATTAAATAACCAACTATTAGATTTACCTAGCACGTTCTATTGGAAAAGTGCCATTTAATTACCTAGCCTATTCAATTAAAGGGACAGCATTCCCTGAATCTAGCAGCCAGATGATTACCAGCAAAATTAATTCCCTTGCTTGGCGCCTCTCATAGTCTAGAAAGGAAATGTATATTCAAGTTGTAATAACATGATACAAAACCACTGAAACTAGCCTAAAGCTCCTAGTTTCTGGGTTTGAAACGTGCGTGTATCAGGAAAAAAAATGCCTGTTTGCTGTTTGTTGCTGTTGCTGCCATGCAGACAGTTTAGTAGGGCACTATGGATGTTGTACTGTAGCAGTCTTTGCCAAATCTGCCATCGCTACCTTGATGCAGTAAAGGTAACACAATCTGGGGTCATTAAAATTTCTCTTTAGAAGCGTGAGCTGAAGCATTTTGCCAAAGAACCACAATCAGTCACCAAATTGCATATGTGTAGCTAAATAAAGGTTAGAGAAATTACATTTACATCACACGAGCAATTTAATAATGCATTAAAAATGATGCTGTGCCTTTAAAGTGTGGATGCAACTAGCCCTGGTAATAATCCCCTCTCTCTCTCTCAAAAGCCAATTTTGTTAATTAAATGTTTTGTTTGCGATGCGGCTCTCATTCATTTCGGACACGTCATTCCAAGCATTTCCAAGCCAGGGACCAGATCTCATTAGATAAAACCCATCAGGACTAAAAGAAAATGGAAGAGCCACTAATTACAGCTTTTAATTGTGTAGACTCACTGTCAGCCTGTTTTATCTGTGTTCACCATCACAGACTCTCAACCTTCTTTTAGCTCCACTCTCTTTCTAACTGTACTCCCATTACAAGTGGAAAGGTATATCCACTTTTCCTCCAAAGTTTAATTAGGTTTAGACCCATTACAGGCGAAGTACCCCATTGACTTAGCCTGATTTTAAGGGGAGCGTTTGCTCTCTTAAAATGTCAGCTCTTCCAATGTGCTTGGGGCGCAGGACACCACGTCACCTTGAGCCGCTGACCAGAACCTGCACCAAACATCGGGAAATAAGAAACATGCACTGTAATCTATATAAACTATAGATTTATGTACAAAGAGATTCTGTGTCTTCTTCAAGGTTTTGCCTAAACCAGAAAAGAATATTACAAATACGAAAACAGGTAGATTCTACTAGAATCCAAATAGTTTATTTATATTTCTAGGCAACATGTTTAAAGAGGAAAACAAAAGTTATCAACTCAGTATTTTCAAATGAACATTTTTGTTGCTTGATACAGTCAGGTTTGAGAAGCTGAACACAGAGAAAACTAAAGATTGTGCTCTGTTTTACATTCCTCCAAGACCAAGCACACCCCATAGGACTAATGAGGTGCCTTTTGGGTTTCTAATTTAATATGCCTCACTCAAACAAGTTTTGTCATTTCATTCAAGAATGCCTCCCCATAAGCATTTGATGCCATTTAGCTGACTGGAGGAGCACAACAGCAAACGGGGTTAAAACAGCAAAAATAACCAAATGTCTGGTTTCTCTAACGTTTTGCATTACTGAGGTCAGAAGTGTGTGGGTTTCTAACAACAGATTTCAGCGGCTCCACACTCAACTTCGATCTTGTGTTTGCATGAACTAAAACTGCTCTGAATGCCCTTGCTTAACGTCAGACACTGTGAGTTTGGTTACAGTTTAATTTTCCTTTTCCTCTAAAAGCCAGTTTCACCTTCGCCCGGGTTTCCTGTAATGGATATGTGGGCGCAGGGTGCAGGCTGTGAGTGCGAAAGGTGAAATTCCAAAGGTCCGTCCTTGTTAAAGAAGGCTGCTTGTACAACAGCCATTCTGCCTATAATGTGCTTAATGTTTTAGACTGCAGATCTAACGAGTAAAGACTTGCACTCCCTGGCTGTCATCATTCTAAAATAATTAACGTTTATTTGTTGATGCTGTTTGAGTAAATAATCCAACAGTTCCAATTCTGATTTTGTTACATGTGCTGCCCCAAACACACAAGAGCACGCTAACTGGTTTGATGATTTTGAACTTACAAGAATGGAGTCATTTCAGCAGAAGCCTGTTTCTGTTGTCTGTTTTTTTTTAAAAGAATGTGTTCTTAATTTTAAATTTTCAAAAGGATAGCTGCCAATAGTTTAAATAAAACATTCTGCCGTTTCTGTCTGTGAAGCACGAAGCTACTTCCTCCGATTCTGTTGTCTTTACATCCCCCAGTGGTTTCAGCTCTCCCTCCCCACGAGCCAGGCTGAAACCCATGTACACGACACACAGGCAGCATGGAGACACAGCCCTCTGTAGAAAACATGACCCCTGGATCAGCCATTGAAATAGCTCAGCACACTACAGATACTCCAGCTGCTTCCCATCCTTGATTGCCAGCAATGGAACTTCTTATCTGCAACAGATTTCAAACTTTACCTAAAAAGGATAACTTATAAAATTATCAGAAAACAATAAAACGAAGCACATATCTACCCCTCGACCTCATATTCTAGCTTCTAATTGCAAGTGAAGCCTGTGCTTGAATTCTTCGGAATTCCTCAATGCAAAGTCATGTAAACACTTTCTCTTCAGATCTGCGATTTCTGTCAGCGTTATTTTTGTTCTCAGTTCAGTTGATTTTAAATGTGATCTGCAAGGTTTCGGGTTCCCCTTAAACAACAGCATTGAAAACAAAGTCTTAGCCGACACCACCACCCCCGCAATCACGCAGACTGAATGCGTTTTGCCCAGCGGCTGCTTGGCGCACACCGCATGAGGGCCGGGTCCCTGCGTCCCCACGCCACCGGCCCACTCAGACCTACCTGATGTAGTCGTTTCTGCAGAGTATCATGCCGCTTTTGGTGTAGCAGGACGTGCCGATCTCTCCCAGCTGCGCCTGGCAGTAGGAGCACTTGAGACACCTGCTGTGCCAGTAGCTGTCCATGGTATACAGCAGGAAGCGGTCTGCAATCTTGCCCCCACACCCCGCGCACTTCTTCCAGGAGAGAGACCCCGCTCCCACGGGGGGCGGCTGGGCACTGCTACCGGGGTTCACCATGGTCTCCGTTCTGTGCAAAAGGGGAAAAACACACAACTGAGGGTTTGAAAGGAGGCAAGAGATGGCAAAAAACACCTACTGTAGACGCTACCCCCTCGGGACCTGCTTGCTCTGCTCCACCCGGAGCTCGGCAAGGGCCACCATCTTGTCTGGCGCCGAGCCGACCGACACACCTGACGTCAGTTTCCCTGCCGCGGCTCTGCGCTCACTTGGGCCCCGGACCCCCACACAGATTTCAGAAGAACGCCACCGCCTCGAGGACGTCTAGCAGGGCGGTCCAGGGGGACACGAGCTCGAAGTTACGAGACGAATCACTGAGGAAAAAAGCGTTCTATCCCACTACAGGTCACAAGGCACTTCCACGTTTACACTCCTTCAGCGCACCTGAAGCCACCCTGCCGGCAGAAGCTGTTCTTTGGGGCTGAGCTTCCAAACAACCCCATTAGAGGGAAAGCTTCTGTGCATCATTGAAACATGCAAAACCAAAGGTGACGGTCACACACTTAACACAAGTCCCCATTGAATCGGTTATTTTGACTGGTTAGTATTTCCTGGCGTTTTAAGGGAAATGTGGGTTTACCAAAGTAAAGACATTAAAGGGAAAATGAGGACCGCTCGTCATCAGCCTGTCTGAACACGACACCTCATTACCTAGGCTGGGGAAACTGTAAGGCTTTTCATTCCACAGCCCTTGGAGACAGATGTCGAACCTGTTAAGCTAATTACAAACAACTTTAAAACTGACAGGGCTAAGAACATATTTTCGGCTTCTAGTCTAAAGCCTCCCCGTCCGGAGACGTTCATCTTTCAATTCGGTGCCATTTCCCTGGGATTTTATCAGTGTGTCTCTGATTGCTTCGGGATTGGAGACGCAGGTATAAATACATCCCGCAGCTTTAAGCAGGGATGTTTAACCTGTTCTGCAAACACATTTAGACCACTCTTTCTCTCTAATCTGTCCTTGATCGCTCATCTGAATGCTGCGGTTGACTCTCGGTTCCTCCAAGATGAATGCTGTTTACTGATAACACTCTGGTTGATAGAACAATTAAAGAGGCACCGGCTTTCGCTGGGCAGCCTAAATTGTCTTTAAATTGAACAATTTTCCCCCTGCAATTCTTCACCCCGGTCAAGGCGCAGCCTTCAAGGGGAAAAAAGTATCCTCACAGAAGCAAGGCGGCGAGAAAACAGAACGGCTAATTTAAAAAAAAAAGCTAGAAAAGTTGCAAATGACAAACTGTATAGTAAAACCATTAATGTGGGCACAGTGCGTTATTTTTTACTGACAGTTGTAAATTAAAAAGTTAATTGCCTGAGGATTTTAACCCACGCTCCAATGGTCGTTAATAGTTCAACATGAAAACAGACCCCACCGTGTATAATATACCCGAAGTAATCTACACATGCGTGTCCGTGGGATCATGACGTGGGGGCGACACTATTACAAACGATATTCCGCTCCTTGTGCTATGTGTTCTTTGAAATTCCTGGTCTCCAATACTTTCATTCCCGGGACACGCTCCACAATTTACCTCTCACCTTATTGGCTACGTGCGCTATTGAGTGCGTATTCGATGCGTGCTGCTTGTTTCACTCCTCGGCTAATGTCTTTTAATTTTTAATCCTCCCCCGTTTCGGCAGACGGACTTCATCGCGGGCTAAGCCAAATCTGTGCTGAAAGGTACAGTAATTAGAAGCGAAGGAGGGGACAGGGGGCGAGAAAAGCGCTGCACTGAGCAAACCTTTCAGAAGCCCATTAGTCCAGAGTCTTAAGGACAGGCAATACGTTCGCTGATTAGATCTAAAGGGGATGAATCAAAGGACTGGACGGAGAGCGAGTCCCTAGATAATATAAGGACGGGCCCTCGTCAAGTTACATTCCGAGTTAAAAAAAAAGCTTTTAACTTAAATAGGCTTACTCTAGTAATTACACGGCCGGGCAATTGATGTGCCGAGATGGAGTCGGTGAAACAGAAAAGAGATCAGGGAGCTGCAGGCAAAATAGTGCCCGTTTTCACCAGGCACCGCTGCCGTGTTAATGGTGAGCGAGTGAAAGATCGCTGGGAATGGTAAGCTTAAATTGCTGCGTCTGGTGAGGAAATGCAATTTAGTCTCCTGTCCTCATCCGGGGGACGGAGGGGCAGAGCGCGGTCGAGCTCCAGAGCGAACGGTACCGGATCACCCGCCCCGTCATTCGCGTGCGCCTGTGATCCGTACTGCACGTCCAGAAAGAAAGTAGGTTATTTCTTCTTCCCCCCGAATTGCAAACAGTTAATACTCGTGCTACTGCCTGTTCTCGTCATGTTTCTAACACAGCCCAGCGTCGCCAGAAACTGTTACATCTTGCAGCTGCACCTCGAAAATGTCACATTTTATCAAAAGTACACCAAGTGCCGCTGGGCTGAGAATCCCAGAACGAAAAAAACATACCTACCTCTTTTGTCTCGTTGTACTGTGACGGTTGAACTGTTTGTAGGTTCGCCGATCTCTGAAGACAATTTCTTATTTTGGTTCACAGATTGGTTCCGGTAAATCGGGGGGTGTTTTCGCGCTGTGGAATGTAAAAAAAAAAACTAGAAAATTCGGCGCACTAGTCCGAGAATCAGAAAAGGCGCAGTTCAAGTCCTTTTGGAATAACGCTCTGCTATGGACGACTGTAAATTAAGTAAAGCAAATGGAGTTTTCAGATTGTATTTCCACTGACTCGATTCAGAAAGCGAGAGAGGAATGTCCTTGAGAAAATGCTCTGAAATGCGCAGTTAATGATCTCCGTATATTAAAGCGGATCTTTGTGGCTGCAGCTCGGCGTTCTGCGAGTAAATCTAACGAGTTGGCTCTAGCCGTGCCGTCTCCGGTGCTGCTCTGCTCTACATGTGTTTGTGACAGGACGAAAACCCCGAGTACACGTCTTCGGGCAGGATGACGCGAATCCACGGCCGGCCAATGTCGTTGCGGCCCATTCAGGCGGAATAACTGAGCCGCCCAATCAGGAGGATGCGAAAGAGACTCGGAGGAGACGAGTGAGGGAAGGGAACAGCAGTCCGGGCTCGGAGCGGCCCCTGGCCGTGCGCAGCGACAGGAGCCGCACACGCCCCGAGCCAGGCGCAGAGCACACGCAGTACCCGCTCAGAGCACACGCAGCCCGGGTCCAAATAAAACTTTTATGCTGGGGAAAATATTTTCAAGCCTTCTTCTCCCCGTTTCGAACGACTTCTGTGTTCCGCTTTTAATTTTGGCAAGTGCAGTGTGTACCAACAAACGGGGAGTTTTTAACAGATTGTACAGCGCCGCGCCCTGCGTGTTAGCTGGATGTGTGCGTCGGAGTTCTGGTCTGCTGCCGCCAGCAAAGATTCGTCTCCGGGCCCCCGGCCGTCCCGGTACCGGGTACCGGTAGGTCCATTTCATGTAACTGCCAAAAGGGGAAGAGGCCAATAAAATACTTCTTAAGGCTTCACGTATGAACCTTATTTTTTTTCTGCCATTCGACGTGTCTGCCCTATCCCACGAAGGCTTTGAAACGAATCTCGAGTTCGTACTTTAATAAGTTACCTTCCCACGTCCAAGTACACTCGCTTGAGCGCAAGGCAGCAGACACCGCTTTCAGGTGGTCACGGGGGCTCGTTGTCAGTGTGCGGCGGCCAAAATGAGCTTCCAGTTATTTCGCTCCGTTTCGGCGCTGTTGATACGTGAGACCGATTTCTGTCGGGTCGGAACTGACTTGTTATAGAAGGTCTGGACACGACTTTCCAAGCAGTTCAAGGAAAACAACAAGCGGAGAAAGGGAGCATCCTAACAGCCACCCTGTCTGTATAATTTTAGTGCAGAACCAACACAGTATCGCCACCAGCTGGCCGTGTAGGGGGTTACACTGTTAAGGCTGACCCTTGAAGTGGACACGTTTTTCATTATATCGTTGTGCGAGGATCCAAACTTCGTTCTTTATATATGTCATAACATACCTATCTTTACTAGTTTCCAGGAATGACTTTTCTACAATACTGTAAGTGCACATGGGGATAAAAAAGAAAAACAACGTTCAAATTGTTTCAAAATAATTGATTGGGCTTCAGTAATTCAGGAATACTGGAAAAACAAGTACAAAAGCTGCCACCGATTAAAATATAAAAAAGGGGGGCGCCTTTTTTTATTAGATTTTATTTTATGGTAACGCGGGGATTCTGATCTTTAATTATTTTCTTTTAAATACGTTATTGTGTTTGCCGGATCAATGAACTCTTTAATGAAACAGAAGACGCCACTGTTTAATGGCACCAAGATTATAATTGATTATCAATATTGGAATTGTGATTTGTCGGATGGCCGGTTCTCAGTTTGTTCGAGAAGTAATGGAAAAAGGGATTAGGTCAAAAGAGGAAATCAGGTATTTATGCTGGGGCCAAAAACAGAAGTCGAAGTGTCTGTACTTAGAGAACCTATCTTTCAGCGTGAAGCGACTTTCCGGTGACCACTGAGTGGGTATCGGTGCAGCATGAGTCCACTTCAGCCTGAAGTGTTTGTCTTCGTAATTTCATGCCCCACGAGTGGGGCGTTGAGCAGCCCACAGAATAAGAGCGCCTGTTTCTGCTTAAAATCAAGATAAGGGCTGTGGTATGCATTATTAGACTGCCAAACTGTCAGAAAAGACCAAATATTAAAATCTCAATCATGACCATAATAGGTTTTGCGTTGATCAGGTTGAACGCTGTAGGAACAACCTAATTAATAGGTTGAGCATTTTTTAATGTTATTTCAGTTTTTCTTCATCTTTACGGACAGGTATAGATGAAGCCATCTCACACGGCTTTTGTGATTTTGCTCCATTGTACCAAATAATCTTTTCCTGCGCAAACTTCCTTTATACAAAATGTTCAAGATAATAAAAAAAGGCGTAAAAACAGCGACTTTAAATAAGGTCAGGCTTTCCACCGATTTGATGATAAGCCTATAAATTAAACGAAATCCATTTTAAAAGCAAACAATAATTGTTTAATCTAAAGAAGCTATTAAGAATGAACTGGAAAAAAAACAGATCATTACAGTGGTTTAAATAGTTTGATCTCGTTCTGCCTTTAACTGCAAAAACGTGTTAAAGCACATTTCCCCGTTTTTTTAATAAATGTGCTGTATGTGCAGTATGCATGATTAAGCTCCCGAAAGCTTAATGTATGCTATTTTTATGCACCAAAGTGACCTTTTTAAAAACTTTCGCACCCCGGGATCTCCGGAGCGAGACGAGGCGCCTGGATCGCACCAGGTCCTCAGGGAGCTCGCGGTTCACGTACTGTAGTAACACTCCATCACGATCACGAGTGGATTCGGCTTGTCCTCCGGCTCCGAGCCATCAATTTCACCGCCAGGACACAGGTACAGTGACTGCACTGTCGAACGCTTTATCAACTCTGTAAAACTACCAATTTATGTACCGGTAGACTTACAATGTAACACCTTCACAGGCCTGCTTCTGAGGAAAACACAAGCCTAGCTCCATTATATTGGGGAATGCGTAACATTTAAAATATCATATTATCACGCCCTAGCATATATATATATACAGTATAGATGCGTGTATTTGGGTGAGAATGCATATAGTACATAGGTTTACTGTTTTACTCACAAACCTCAGCTGTCTTACAATAAAAGAGACGATACAGAGAAATGTACACATCCCTTCTTTCCAGGTGAAGTTTACAGCGGTTTTGAAAATCGTCAGCGTGTGGTCTTTGCCTTAACCCACGCACCACGTTTTTATGTCGCCGCTGTCTCTGTGATCCTGCGTTGTCAGTCGAGGAATGAGTTATGGATCCCAGTCAAGGTCTGATGTGACTGACTGGTGGAGACATTATCGTTTCGGTGTGGACTTCTTTTTACAATGTACAGCAAGGAGCCCCGATATATCACGAGCTAACTATCAATTCTGTGGACAAGGCAGCCGCGACAGTCATCTGTACCGAGTGAATGACACCGTGTCAGGTGGCAGCTGATATTTTATGGTGCCTGTACTTGACAAACAATACTGTCTGGACACTTGTAATTGGCCTTGTAGCTTTACTTTTTATTGCCTCTTGTTTCTGTACTGTAGTAGTCTAGCAGCAAAGATGTTATTTGCTAATTAAACACTCAGCTGAATTAGTAGTGGCATTATATCAAGTGCATTCAGACATTTAATTCTGAAACTGGTGTAATGGCTGTTTTTAGCGGAGTGTAAATGAGTGTTTTAATGAAACGCAGCGCTTCAGAAGTAATCCACCCCTTTTCTTAACTTGACGGCTACCGTCTTAGTTTTATGTTTAAAAGGGGAAAGCCTTTGTCACATTAGCGTTCTTCGATTTGAATGAAGTCGTTCATTTGTTTTGACCTCGGACTGCCGCTCGCGCCTCAGGCGAAGATTCAGAAGAATTTCTGTCCACTTTCAGGCAGAAATCCGTTTCCCCACTCGCGTCTCCGGACAGCGAAGGCCTCGCTCTCCTGTCCCCTGGGCCGCTGACCGGCTGCTCGTACCTGCTCTGAGGCTGACAGACTTGCAGGGGCGGAGGACTGTTAACCTAGCTAGTGCCTTCAAGGAACTGAGCCTCGTGTGTAAGCATTCCCCAAACGTTATTAATTCTCCTTACAGTAATTGTTTTCATTGGAACTAATGGAACTCTGAAGTTTGATTTCGGCACCAAACGTGCTTCCTAGTGATTTTCATCATAAATCGCCTAACAAGCTTCCACGTACTGTACACACCCTTCCTTCAGTCCTGCATTGACACTCAATCACTCCACAGACACACCCGTGCAGACGTGTGACAGTGATAAAGGGGTTGGAGAAAGGGGAATGGGAGAAGATGTGTCACGCCTTAATGATTGTTTTAAAAGTAGTTTTCTGCTATCTGCATGGAGTTCGTATGTTCTCCCACAGTCCAAAGACGTACTGGTCGGTTAATTGACTTCTGGGAAATCGGCCCTGGTGTGAGTGTGCGTCTCTGTGTGTCTGGCCTGCGATGGACTGGCATCCTGTCCAGGGTGTATCCTGCCTTGTGCCTGGTGCTTGCTGGGATAAGCTCCAGCTTCCCGTGACCCTGAATTGGATAAAACTGTTAGAAAATAAATGGAAAATTGCATGGATTTCTGAAGTTTACCAATGTCAGTCCAAAATCACCTAACATGGAACACTTCAAGTAGGTAGCTGCATCAGGATACACAGGTTGCAAAGGAACATGTTTCATGTTTTCTTAACATGAAACACGACAATGTAGTGACACACATTAATTACCCTTTTTGCTTATTAATGAGCTGAAATATTAGAATAACACTGGAGCACATCTCAGTTCTTGGGAAGGTGTGAACATCTACATTGAGTAAGTTTTTCTTTGCTAATTTTCTTTGCTAATTCCAAAAGAGTCCTGCAGTCAGGTGTTTTTTTAGGCATGATGAAAAGACTCATCCTCTGAACACAAAGCCCAGCAATGAGCTCGACCAGGATATACGTGCTGGACGGGTTGAGTCCACCCTTATCGCTTTTCAAAGCGTTTCTTGCTTCCTTATTCAGAAATAAAATAATTGAATATAGTAGCAGTTCCATCTCCCTTAAAAACAGATCGAGACCGCTTCATCCCTCCTTGCATACACCCCCTCTACTATTGTTAGTTAGATGTCAGTGACTCCACTGAAAAAATCATTCACTTTTAAACTTCATATATCAGATATTAATGATTTCATTGTTTCAGCTGCAGTACTTTCTAATTTCCCATTAGCAAACAGTTTTATTCCACCTTGATTTCAGTTTCATCCTGTTTTCCACTACCGCCTCCCCCCACCCCTGACTCAAAAAACAGAAGAATGCTGTTTTCACGAAGGAATAATTAATTTATCTCAACTATTAAAACAGAGAGAATTATGAAATGACTTTCAATAGAAGTCTCAAAGGAGAAGCTTTGTTTGTTCTTCCCTGTCTTTAATGAGCTTTCCTAAATGGCCAAGAAAAATGATTTTTTTTTGTAATATGATAGAGGCAAATAAGGAATGGGGTTTCAGGAGTCCCTGTGGAAATCTGGTTTCCTCATTCTTCCTGTCTGTACTCGCCTCTTGTCCTGTTCCAGTTTGGAGTGGTTGCTTTCTGATTACAAACCCTGCTGATGGAAGACGTGCTGTAACACAGAGGAACACTGTTTCAGTATTGAGCCGGGACTGAAAAGCCACAGCCGGTATCTTTTACCGTCTTCTTGTGACTTTTTGTACCTCTAGCTCTAACGGACTATATTCATTTCAGAAGGGTGCGCAGCTACAGTGAGATTTATCGTCACTCGGGGCAGCTGACCACCGTGCAGGCAGAGTGAAATAGGTGCCCTTTTCACTCGCGAGTGGGGCTGAACATGCTCCAGGGGGGCACTAAAAACAAGGGCGAAATGAGAGCGCTGTCCCCCAGTTTAAAACGTGACTGGGTCTAGTGTACCAAAGGAAGGGGTCTTTC